GGCACACAAGAAAGTAAAATTAAAAATCCCCAGAGAATAGTGGTTTAAGGCCATTATCTTTTTAGTCTGCTTCAGAACACATCCAGCTACCAGCAACAACTCACCATTTCCTGATGAACTCACCAGGAAATACTTAATCCCAGAATACTTAATCCCATTTTGTTTCCTTATACTTCATTCAAAGCACCACTTTAATTAGCTCACGAATAACTGGAGTTCAGTAAGTACAGTAAGAAAGAGTTAGTTCCCTGGTGAGCACTCCCTTTTAGCTATGTTAGGATGACTGGGCCTAATATATTTTGTGACTAAGTGAGTTTTGTTAGTGGTTCCACTTTCCCTCCTGAGCCCAAATGCAGCCAAATTCCTTTCGGAAGTACAACTAAACCTCCCGCTCCTTCAAACTGCATATACAGTGCATATTATAAGCTGCACTAAGAGGAGCATCTCCTACAATTAAGACCAGCAAATATTTAAGAATAGGCAGCTTAACTCTTAAAAACAACATGCAGTGTTGAGAATTATAGCTTTCCAAGAAAACTGGAGCTCTTCCATCCTTGGCAGATGATAAGGCATGCACAGATCGAATTACCACTGAAAAATATATCTTATCTTATGAAAGCATTTCACAACTTCTTGGGGAACAACCCCACTGCCACTTTCTTCCTCTCCCTCCCAGTTATGCAGCCTGGTTACATGACTGTATGATGAACCCCATCAGGGAGCCTATCCAAATTAAAACCCATTTTTAAGTTCTTATTTTTAACCTGGACCACCTCCCTGATCCGTCTCATCATACAGCTGAGCAAAAGTGAGATAATGCCAGCATGGGAACGGGTTACCAGGCCTGCTCACCCTGCCTGCGTTGTTTACACATGCTTCTGAAACTAATGAAAATATTTTGGGGAAACCCAACCTATTTCCAAAGGACAGAAGCCGACAGAAGAGACTGCGACCATCAGCTCTCTATTGCTCCCTAGAAAACAGAGCCTTTTACACTGTAGGACACAACCTGTTTAGAAGCTGTATTATCTGCTTCCCTATAGCAGGCCATGAAATCCCGCCCCCAGTACCCGAGCCAACCTACCCGCACAAGAGAACTTCCCCGCCCGCTCAGCCCGAGCTAACCGAGCCGAGTTTGTGCCGCGACGGAAGGCGAGCAGCCCGCCGGCCTCTCCCCCCGCCCGGCCAGTGCTGCTGCCAACGGCTTCCCTCGCCAGTGCAGTGCCCGGGGCTGGGTAAGCAGCTGCCGGGAGCGGCACACGGCGAGGAGGACGGTGCTGGCTTATTTTAGGCGGAACCAGATCTTCCTGATCCTTGGCCGACAACTTTTTACCCCCCAGAGAGGCCGAGGCGCCACTCCCAACCCGGGTGGACTCCGCTCCCTGCTTTCCCTGGGGGAAAACGACGAGCTGTTTCTCAGCAGCGGCACGGCAGCTCCCCCCTCCCCAAAGCGGCCTTCCCCCAGCCCGCCCCTCAGCCACCGCGCTCATCGCACCGGTGCCCCGGCGCCGACGGAGGCCGAGAGGAAGAGAGCCCGTCCGCTGAAGTGCCCGTCAAGCCCCCCGGGCTGGCCGCCTCTGGCCCAGCACCACTCACCGCGCTGAAGCGGATGCCGCCCTGTGTTTTCGCCGCCATCTTTTGTGCCACAGCGAGAGCCGGGGAGGGCGCGAGAGCCTGTAACCCGCACTTCCGCCTCGCCCCCTCCACTCACGCTTCCGGCACCGAGCGCGCCGTCTCGCGGAGAGGTGCGGGCCCGGCTGTGGTGTGGCGGCGGCAGCTGCCGGTGGGGCCGGGGGGGCTCGGCTCTGCCGGCCTTTGGGCTGACACCCGGAGCTGTGGTGGCGTTGGCACTGCCCCGCGGACACGCAGCGGGTACTGGGGGCTTTCAGCGCTGGGAGCCTCTGAGGTGCGGGGTACATCGCACAGCGCTACAAAGGAGGGACGGACTGCGGAGAAAGGGTGAAATATGAAAAGCAGTTTTCACAAAATCACAGCATGGTTTGGGTTGGGAGAGACCTTAAAGACCATCCAGTTTCAACCGCTTGCCACGGCAGGGACACCTTCCGCTGCTACTCGAAAGCCCCATCTAACCTGGCCTTGAACACTGCCAGGGATGTGACAGTCCCTTCGTGGGGCAATCCCTGTGCCAGTGTCTCAACCACCCTTTAAATCTACACTATTATACCTACTCTAAATCTAATCTAAAATCCATCAACCCACGCTCCTCTGCCCATAGGTCTTCAAGATCAGGTGTACTGAAGAGTGTCCTTCCAAATGAAAAGGTTACACTTCCAGGGCACTTTCCCTAAACATACAGAAACGCAGAGAATGTTTTTTGGAAAGCCATGCATACCAAGAAAGACTTACGGAGCAGCAGTCCTGAATTTCTCAGGGGCAGGCACTCCCTCCATGATGGCGGGTCATCAGTGCCTCTCAGTCAGTCAATGACACCCCACCCACCATTCTGCAGCACCCGCAGCTTCCTCCACCTGCTCCATGCAGCTCTTCCGTACACACAAACCCAGAAAACTCATCCTGAGACCACAGAGCTGGGATCCCAGGGTGGAAGGTTCAGGGATGCAAAAGGTAAGGACGTAGGAGTGAGAGCAGTAGGGGCACACCGTGAAAGGATGATGAAGGCAGGGACGCAGTCTGTCCTCCAGCAAGCATGGGGCTTAGCACAGAGCTGCTGCTGCTAGGGTTTGAACTGTGGTCTTCAGGGTTCTGTACAGAGCCCTCATCCATTGAAACAGCATTTGAGAGCTTTTAGAGAGTCAGGTAAAAGTTGATGAGTGAGCAGTAAAAGTAATTTGAAAAACGAGGCTTGCATTTGAAAAGGTATTTCAAAGTAACATTTAATATTATTAGAAGAGTTGCATTCAAATAATACATTTAACCATTACTTAATGATCTGCATTTCAAGCTCTGCTGTTCTATGGCAGTCACCTTGGTTGTACCTACTAGCTTTTTCCTTCAGGAAAATGAAATCCCTTTGAATATGTTGCCCTCTGCATATCATGCATTGTGGCTATGCTGTCTCAAAGCTGAAGTATCCAAAAGAGAAAGCTTGGTTATCCTGAAAACAACCAAAGAACTACACAGTAAAGCAAAAGCATTTTCTCTACTGTTCTTGATACTGAGTTCTAGGCAAAAGTTTTTCAGATTCATCTACAGTCACCCTGCCTTGGCAGTACCAGCATTAAAGCAGTACAACCCTCCTTCACATGGATTTAACAGCAGTAGCATAAGAAGTAAAATGACTACAGTTAGTCCCATATAGAAAAGGTATAAAGTTACACTGCTAGAGATACCTTTAGGCCTATGTAAGTGTGTCCCTCCACCACCCAAGGAGGACTTGTCCTTTCCCCTTATTCACATGCTATTTATACTGATAAAAGATCTGCTTATATACTAAATTTTAAAGAACTTTTTCTTCTTCAGAATTAGATTCTGCTGCAGTGAAAGGATTCTGCAAGTCACAAGTATCTAAGGCCATTTAAAGCAGCCATCTGCAGAACCACAGGACAGAACTAAATGTCTGTATGAAGGCAGGAGTTCAAAGCAGTTTGTGGAAAGTAAGATCAGCTTAGAAGTTAGACAGTTAGACCTAAGTCACAGATTCTGTGATTAAAATGCACCACCACAGCCAAGGAGGAAGTGACTAATGTCTGATCCCCTGCACATCTGAAGTACAGGCAGCCAGAATGGGACATTCCCTTTTGAGGGGAAGGATGACAAACCCCTCCATCTAAGTAACTAGTTCACCACCTCCAGTTTGCAAGGAAACTACGTGAAGACATGGGTTTACAGCTTATGGGAGAACGTAAAAATAGAAGGTTTGATGGCAGAAAGTTGTCTTAGGTTTTAATAGCCCATTTGACAGCATCTTATCAGTATTTTAAGGGAAACACCCAAGTATCAAATGTAACCATCAGAAAGCTGAAAGTAAAAATATCAAATCACCCTGAGTATTAGCAATTTCTCTTTAAGAATTATTGAAGATGTGTAAGTAATGAACACAAATATTTTAAAAACATTCTGCTCCAATTTTCCAGTAATGCTTTAAAAGGATAACTTTTAACTTGTGCTCATTCCAGTACCATTGGAGAACATTAATAAATTATATTAATACATTCACATTCTTAGTGACTACAGTTTTATGCTTCAGTCTATCACTTTCCTTAACTAAAAAAAGAATCAAAGTAGCTGTAAGAATTCAAATTTAAGTTTAAGCATAAGCCTGTTGCAGTATCACCTTCATAGAGCATTACAGTATTAACACAGTAAACCATGATCAGTGTTTCATTATTTTAGTTTATAATACAAAGATGAAATTCATATTATCTGTAGATAAAATACACTGCAGAATAGCCTTCCACGTTTTGAAAAAAAGAAGATGAAACAAAACCATCCCTGACCTCACAACCTGGGGACATCAAACCACACATTTTGTATGTCCTGTTTTAATTAGCAAAAACAAGAGTGGTGAATTTCAGTACCCAACACATTTACCTCAGCTGCAGTGTCCAAATAACTCTAGTAGCATGTAAGAGTCCAGGTTATATCTTACAAAACCAATTTTTTGAAGGCAAAGGTGTATCAAAAAAAACAACCTAAACAAAAGCAGACAAAGCTTCTCACCATGAAAAATGATAAACATCCCTGCCCAGAAAAACCAGTATTGCAAATCGAGTCAGACAGTCCACTAAGTATGAAAATTCAATGTAGTCCATCTTCTCATTTAAAAAATATTCTACTAAACCTTTTGTTGTAGGCGTTGCTACAATGGTGCTTATCCATTGGCCATCAGAAGTGTCCTTTAGACATGCAGCTGTACTGTTTGGTGGTAGAACTAATCCCTATCTCCCACGTCCTGGGTGGTGGCAGCAGTGCAATTCTGAAATAACCTGCACCTTGAACATTACTGTAGTCATGGCATGGTGATGATCTTCCTACCTCTTTTAACACCTAGGAACAGCCAAATACATTCTTTTGTATCAAAAAAAAAAAAAAAAGGTAATTTTATTTTCATTTAATTAGGCTGTTATATGCAGCAATTTATATTTATACAGAATTATCTTCATTTAGTTGTATTTCAGAAGTTTCAAAGTGGCCTTAGTCCCTGAAAGAACAGTTTTTTAATTAAAAGAAAAAAAGAAATTAGAATATTTTTAGTCAAGTAATTAAAATTAAAAACCCTCAAGTAAATTACAAAATATTACTGCATAGGTTTGTCTTTTATGAGTGTTTATCTTTTATTTAGGAATTGCTAATCCTGAAGAATGCTATTATAGTACAGAGTTGAAATTACAAACATGATTAAGTCTGCAGTTATTTGCACAGTGCTGAGACTTATAAAATACATCTGTTTGAAATTTAGGTGATTTGTATAGAATAGATAAGTTTTAGGGCAAGTTAAAGAAAGGAGAAGTAGGAGCAGGCTTTAACTTCAGGAAATGGCTTATCTGCAAACTGATTGTATACTGACATGCAGTATTGGCTTTTTCTTAAATTTACTTTCAGAAGACAATTCCAAAAGCAGTTTAAAATCCTTACTTGAGAAGTTACTGAATAAATGGTACAATTGCTACTTTCACCAAGTCAAAAATATTCTTCCTCTATGTACAAAATCTCTTTAATCCTTCACATTGAGAAAAAGTAAAATAATACAGTAACTATGATAATTGCCACTAAACTGTACTTTTTTCTTTTCCCCCACAGGAGCTGAAGAATCCTGCTTTTTAACCCCACTCAGAAGCCCGGGTTACTGAAGAGCACTCCATAACAGCAGGAAGAAAACCCAAAATGTAGTTTCAAAACTGGGGAAAAAAGAATAATTGCAGTAAAGTTTTCCCTTTTTTTTTGCTGTTTGTTCACCACGACTCAAGGGTCTGACATATGGCTTAACTTTCCATGTTTTCAAGGAAGTCACATTCAACATTCTCTTCAAGCTGTTGCAAGACCTTTACGCCATTACTGCTGCCAGCACAGTCCACAGGAGGAGATGCAGGAGTATGTGAATTCTGGGACTCACTCCTGTTTGTTGTAAATGCACAACACAGAGTCTTGAAGAAGGGCATAAGCTGCGTGATGTGGGATATGGAGCGGAAGTTCAAAAGAGGAAACTTCTGCTTCTTGAAAATTGTCTCAGTGCTATTCATTTCCTGTAAGCAAACAAGTTGAGGTTTACTAAAGGTTTTGCACTAAGACACAATTTTATGGCTTGTCTGAACTCCTGTGCTATACTGTTTTTTATGCTAAGAGATCCACAGCCTACAACTGTATCACGATAAAAATAGTATAGGTGGCATACAGAGTTACTTCCATAGTTGGATTCAAGGTTCCATTATATGAAAGTCTCATAAATTCAGAAAACTGCAAATTTGGACTAGCCTTAAGAATCAAACAACAACCAGATTATGTCTGAGAAATACTAATGCCCGTATTTTTTTTCTGGAAGAATTAAAATGAAACCTTGATGGTAATTTATGGTAAAGTTTTTTTGGCAAAGTATGGCATGCGCTTTTTTATGAATACTAGTCCTGTCTGAGACAAATTGTTTTCACTGGGTGGTGTGGGAAGATTTAAGGTAACAATAGGAAAACTGCCTCTTGTTCCGTCACATTCAAATGCAATCATACATCTTCAAGATCTACATGCGAAAGCAGGGAGATAATTTTTAAAAGCCTCATGAATTTTATTAGACTATCTAAAACCCTCTTGCCTAACTTAAAATCTTGTCACTTGTTTAGAAAAGTAAGTTAATGGACTAAAAAAAAAAAAAAAGATTCAAGTGAAGCATTCTTTCTTTACCCCATATTTCATCTTCAGCAAATCCATGATTCTTATAATGTGTGGTCTGCATTCCTGATGATTTTCTACCAGGTGAGAAGTCACAGTAGATGACTCTGTGTCCACCTCTGGGACAAATGCCCATTTGTACCTGAAACAAATGGATTATTTATTTGATAAGAAGACAGGCAGAAAAAGATCCTTGCTTGGACCATACGTAGTTTAGTAGAACACTGGTTTGTTTACAGAAAGGGCAGTCATAACTACAATTTTATGCTATTACAAGAGATTAATTTAATGAACAAGGATATTACTATCATGTCAGTATTTAAATGCAACGAGGTCCAAAAAAATCCCAAGTGCATGCAAAGGGAAAATGAGGAACAGTCTCTGTCTTTTTCTTCTCCCAATTTCTCCAAGTTAAAGAATCTTCTAAGGAGGGTGTTGAAATCCTCCTGCACTGACAAGACCAAATTGTTTTTCAAAATACCCCAAATTACATTTGTCTGAGTAACAACATCTACAACTGTAAAAAGAACTGGTGGCAAAATTATGTCTACCAGAAAATAGATCTGGGTTACTTTAAAGGATAAGAGTGGTAGCAACCCAGAAAACAGATAAGTAATTAGAGTACTTACATCTGAAACAATTGCATCCTATCAGGTGGAAATGAAAGCGCTGTGTCCAAAAACTTACAAGCTGATAAGTACAAAGACAGCTCATTCTGGTGTATGTCAGATCCACTGCCATCACTTGAGACTTTCTGTTTGCTGATCTTGCTGTTGGTCCTGTGTTAGTTACAATTAGGAAACATACCATTAAAACCTGAATCTACTAAATGTTTTTCATTCAGCAAACCAGAAATGTACATGTTGACACAAATAAGCACTCATACCTGTGCACAACAAAAACTACTCTTATTCTGTATGAGCATTGTGATTAATATAAAAGGCTGCAGAAGAAAAAGTAATCAAAAATATTCAGAAAAAATGGCAACACATTAAAATATTCAAATGCTGACTTAGCATCTCTTCTATTTTTGTATGCAACTAGTAAGTGGCACTGACTTTTTGAACTTATCACTATTTTAGCTGCTGAAAAGGGAAGTCCTAAACTGTGACTCATCAGTACCAGAAATACACAAGTAGAATAACAAAGAAATCCCCATTGTCTCCTCCCTATCTTAGAAAATTATGTAAATAAATAAATAATTAAATAAATAAGCAAATCCAGAATAAGCACAATCATTATCTGCTTCCACAAGTACTCTGTCAGATGAATGGTAATTCTTACTTTGATGGTTCATCTTCCTCAGTTAAATCTTCTTCAAGCTGTAGGAATGTCTGAATCTTTAAAGAAATAAATTATTTTTTCAGGGATGCTGAAACATTCATACAACTCAATCACAAAAGAGATATCCTTCACATAGTATAAGGAACCACAGACTCCTAGCTTACTCTTATGACTTGCCACAAAATAGCAAGTCATGCAAGAGATTTCATTTGCAGCAACAACAAAATTAATGAAAAAGGTATTTCCTAATGTAAAACTATTGTACATTAATGTAAAACTATTAAAACATTTCCTTTTTTCAAACAGGGAGTCTATTTTGGAGGAAGAGAAAGACAAAACGGGAAAAAAACACACACTAATTAGTTTCAAATTATTACTTATTCCTTACCAATTCAGTTACCATAATTGGCCACAATGAGGTTAGATGCTGAGGTGAAATCCTTAACAGAAGAACTCTGAAGAAGAGAAACATTTGTGCAGCAACTATAGAAGTCTGCCCAATACGGAGGTTCTCAGTCAGTCGTTCTGAAGTAAACATGAAAAGTAAACAAACAAAGAGTAATATTTTTCTGAAAATGTGTTGTTTTGGGAAATAAAAAATGCAGGCAGTCACAAAACAAAATTTGTGCTTTATCACCTGTTTTGGGTTGAATCCCTTGCACTGTACTAACAAAATTGTGATTCAGGGGAAGTCTGAAGACACGGTGGTTTTATATTGGAAATTTTTTTGTCAAAACTGACATTTAAGGAGAACAACAACTCAAGAGTGGCTGGAAAAGTGGCTGCCACAAAATAATCACATTTTCTGTTATATTACCAGACCAAAGTCTGGAACACAGATTCCTGTCCCCCTTGTAATGAGATTATTTATTTGTTAGAATTCAGAGATTCACAGCACTATAACTTTTGTTAAAATCTTTTTAAAAATGGATGTGTTGGAAAATAGGTGACATTCCTTTCCTAAACAATTTATATATGTGTTACAGCTTAAAAAAAAAAAAAGGCAGGTGAAATTACAAATCTTACCTTGTATTAAGGGAAGATAGAGATGATACTGATCAATCTCTCCACTAAAGACAGCGAAAGCTTGCCGCTTTAGCAACATTGCTTTCTGCTCAAAACTTGGGTACAATTTTAAGGCGCTGCTCTGCATATCTGTAATAGAGATAACAATTATCTACCACGTAAAAACTTCTTGAGGTTTGGGCAGAAAATAAATCCTATGTCCTGAAATGCCTTAAAAAGAAAAACTCACTTTGGTTCTAGTGATTGGTGAACTAGTCTTGCATTGTAAACCTTCAGCTGTTCTTTTAGAAAATCTGAAAAAGGGACTAAAGCTGCTTTTTCTTTTGAAGCTCTAGGCAAATTTATGAGGTCCTATCTCACTCTTTCCCCCAGAGCTTACTCCCCTGCACTCTCATGAAGCCTGAAGAGGTCAAAGCCTATTGCTCAAAGGTTTACTGTACTGGTGCACCACACTCCCACAGCTCAATGCCAATATAGAGACACCTTCAAAATTAGCCAAAGCCTTCTTGCTTTCTAACAGGGAACGTCTGCAAAAGGTGTTTCAGCAACTTAAAATTATGGTGAAATGTGAATTCAGGAGTACAGCATTAGCACTTCCAGAACAAAAATACTTGTGGTGTGTTTTAGACATGACCAAAACACAGAATTAACTTAGCACAGTCTTATTATCTGTGAATAAAATTGGCAATATAATCAATTATGCAGATGCAGCATTGTCTGTATTTTATTGATACATTAATATGTTAAAAAGTCACCCAATAGCTCAAAAAGCAAATAGATTTCAAATTAATATAGAAATAAGTTATCAGTAGCTGATACTTACTCATCAAATCTTTAAACATAGTTTTCTCATGTGTCAGAAGATGATCAACAATGGATCTCCAGCTGAGTAAGATACAGAAGGAATTAGATACCCAGAGAAAACTTTGGTACAGATTCACAGAAAAGATTCTGGTCAAGCCTTTCATACAATAAAGAGTTTCCAAACAGTATTCAATATGCAGACTCTTAGCTGGTTTAACACCTATTGCATTCTAGGTCCTCCAGCTCTACTGTACACAGTTCCCTAATCATTAAGGGGAGTATCAGCATAAGTTTTTACTTATGAACTATAACGTAGTTACACTAATTATAACTAATATACTCACTAGTAGAATTAGTAGTCAAGACCCATTTCTAACATTATTGCATTCTGTAAGAAAGTACTAAACAGAAATTTCCTTCCAGTATTAGCCATTCTCCTTTAAAGCCTTTCTTTGTGAATTCAGAATAGAATCTTGTAGTGCTACAGCCTCATGTCTTACTGAGTGCATGAAGTGTCCATCTGGAAAAAAGCTGGATCCATATACAGCTCGAGAACTTCTTTTTTCCAGGCTCGCTTGGTGTAGGCGTATCCGCTCAATGAGCTGAGCAACTGAGCACCAGCACGAAAACTAGGAATGTTGTAGGCACTGGGAGAAGAGAATAATAATTATATATATATATATATATATATATATATATATATATATAAAGTTAAGTTTATATGAACAGAAAATAAACTTCAGGGCTCCCCACAACTTCTAACCAAATTCTCCCAGTAATAGGCTATGTCTACAGGAGCTCATAGAGCAGCAGCAGATCAGCAGAAGCTCCTCACATTTTTTGTGTACCTTGTCAGGGGAGATATTTTCGGATGAGATGTGTCACAGCACAATACTGCCTGTTTCCACTACAGGTGTGTTTCAAAACTTCCCTGAAAAAAATTTCCAATAGAATTTTGTATCCCTGTCAGCAGACCCCTTTAGAAAGTACCACAGTAGGCTTCACCCAAATAACAAGTGTATATGTCGGTTCTCATGTCATTATCACCTGTATAAAAATCTCACACACAAGCCTTTTTCTCCTTGTGCTGCCCTATACAACATCCCATGCTAAATTTGGACACCATGTTCTGCAAGATGCAGCAGCACATTAAGAATCTGACTGATTTGGTTAGGGGTGAAGCAGGCAGAAAACACTGTAATAGACACAATGGAAAATGCACAAATGAATAGAAAATAGTATTTTCCCAAAAATTCTCTGCATCATTTTTAAACCAACCCTCCCCATCCCTGAGAGGGAGCATGGAAATGTCTTCAAACCCTGCTGCACCCTGAGGCTTGCTGGCTTTAATGCTTACTTCCCATTGACTCTCAACCTATCATCCCTTTTAGGCACGGCTGGTTGTATCTTCCCTGACCCTCTATACCCTGTTTTGCCCTCCACTGTATACTGGCTAGTGGTTTTGACTGTGGCCTAAGTAACACTTGTGACAAAAATCCTCACTTCCCCTTCCCTGCCATCCATGAGCGGTGGCTGGTGAAGTGCCCTCCCACACTTCAGTATAGATTAGTCTGCTCAGACAAACGTAGTAGCCAAAAGGTAAAAGCCAGGAAGAGGGGAAGCTTGGCAGCAGCTAAAGCAGAAAAAGCTGGAGCTCAGAAAAATGGAACTGGTAGCAAACAGGGAAGAGAAGGGGAGAGTTGCTTCCTTTCACTTGGCAGAGCGGCAGGAAGCAACCCTCAACAAACAAAAGGTTTCAGTTCCTGGGTGAAATACAGTTCATACCGCATTAGAATGGAAACAGAGGAGAGGACAAACAGACGAAAAAGCAAAAGTGTTACAGTGTGGCCAAAAAAACAATTAGTCTTAAAAAAATCACATGTGCAGAGAGGGGAGTCACCTGTGGTTGCGTAGGTAAGGAAATACGTAATAAAGCAAACGTGAAATCAATGGCACAGCTTTCTCCTTCTCGTCACTCCGGTAAACCATGTCCAAAAGAGAAGCAAGAACCTTAAAAAGGAAAAGAATATCCCTTTAAACCTCCAATTGGTATTTCTGACAAAAAGGGAAAGCATGCTGTATTTCAGGCTAGAATGCGTGTGCACATAGGATGTCTCAATAAAGTTTTAAGCTCCCATTTAATCTATCAGGAAAACCTACGTATTCTCCTGCTCAATGATATCAATAAACAACCACCCCACAGATGAAAGCAGCAACTACAAAACCTTTTCCTACTTACTTCTGCAAGGAGGGAAAGAGCTTGGACACTGTATATTGAAGGAGCAGAGGCAGAAACCATTGAAGATGGTACCACTGATGTATCTGAAAGAGGCAAAAATAATTAGTTTTCCCTTCAGACATGCTTAAATTTTGCTGTTTCCTATTTTTCTTCCCAAACAAAACCGTTAATTGCATACTGGTATTAAAGTGAAATGCTTCTGGGTATGTTGCCACAATGACATAACTCATGCTGCATGCTGTTCTGTCCTATATATTGCATGCATCGCTAGTAAGTTTTCCTCTGTATTATACACAATATGCAGATATTTACTAAACCCATTGAGGCTAACATTGTTATTGGAGGAGAATGTATTTTTTTTTGTTGTTTTGCTTTGTGTGTGTTACTCCCACATCACACAAACTACACACTATTTAACACCTTGTATTTTTCACTTAAATAGAAGAGAGGAAGCAGCAGAAAAGTCAGACAAAACCACATTACCGTTCACATCTTCAATGTTGAAGTCGTCTGGTAAAATCTGAGGCCGAGCTTTCACTTCTAAGTTCCGGCTCAGCCAGCTAGTCTGTTCCAGAGAAGAACCAGCAACAGTTCCTACAGCCTCCAAGATTTTTTGGGCCACTTCCTATAACATAACCAGGTAACACAGGATCAGATGAAAGCTATTATCACTTAGCAGATCCAGCAAAGTCCTTTTTATATGGAACATCTCAGGATAACCAGAAGTAGTCACTTTTATCTCTTAGAAACATAAATACTTCTCTGATTTAACAATCTGTGCTCTAAAGATAACTAACTACTGCTCACTTCAAATAAGATCAGGCAAGAAAATGAGAAGCAGGAAAAACTTTAAGTTAGCTTAAGATGAAGGTTTTAGTCATGATTTGCCATGCAGGCCATTACCATTAACACAGTATCAATTTGGCATCAGTCCTACCACAATTTACATATTAGCTGTCATCTCTCAAAGACATGATCTGAATTGTTCATCCCCTCAGAAATGGCATATCAATGCCTTTATTGTTTTGAATACTGTTCCTTTTTATTCCTTTCACATTTGGAGACTATCAAGTGAGGCAGGGCTTTATTTTATGACAATACATCTGCTCCTATTTCAGTCTTTCCATTAGGTGTAAGCAAGACAGCATCAAACTATGAGCACAGTCACTTCAGCATATTTCATTCCCAGAGAAATGAAAAGCTGGTCACTCTATCAAAACCAAATCCCAAGTATCCAAAGCAAAGCAGAGGTCACTTTTGAAGAGGCTGTAAGATGGCAAGATGGCAAAACTGTCTTCTTATTATCATTATTGTTTTCTGGCAAGCCTCTAAAATGGAAGTGGAGATTCAATTTCTCTGTTGGCATATTAAAGTACTGTAACTGTAACACTGTCTAACCTCATACACAGCATTACTTTGGCTCAGACCTAAAGCTGCACTCGTGTAGGTATTGCTTTAAGTGTTCTGGTGAAATCACTATCGGTATCGGAACAGAATCCTGCTCTAGCCCACCTCTCCTTTACATAAAAGGTGAGCTGACAGTCTTTTACATTGCCAAACACAGCTATGAGCTTTAAGGATAATTATGCTCCTAATTTTCCTAGATAGTTTTGAGATTTCAATGCTTACTCATACGACATAGAATCATAGAATAATTAGGGTGGAAAGGACCTTAAGATCATCAAGTTCCAACCCCCCTGCCCACCTCCCACTAAACCATGTCACCCAAGGCTCTGTCCAACCTGGCCTTGAACACCCCCAGGAATGGAGCATTCACAACCTCCCTGGGCAACCCATTCCAGTGCCTCACCACCCTTACAGTAAAGAACTTCTTCCTCATATCCAATCTAAACTTCCCCTGTTTAAGTTTGAACCCATTACCCCTTGTCCTGTCACTACAGTCCCTAATGAGGAGTCCCTCCCCAGCATCCTTATAGCCCCCCTTCAGATACTGGAAGCTGCTATGAGGCCTCCACGCAGCCTTCTCTTCTCCAGGCTGAGCAGCCGCAACTTTCTCAGCCTGTCTTCATACAGGAGGTGCTCCAGTCCCCTGATCATCCTCATGGCCATGAGCTCATGACGTCATACTTGTGTTATGATTTAAATTCTGATAAAAATCATAAAATTAAACAGGGAAACAGCTTTGAGAATTCCATAGTTACCACTGCGATTTCATTCATTTTTGACAAAATTTTGTTAGAGACATTCTGTGTATGTCTCTATTTGAGTCTCCCATATTTACCAGACCTGAGTTAAAACATGTGGATGCACATTCACATATTATATAAGCATAGGTGAATTCAGAGACAAAATACGGATCAAGTCATCTTCACTTTTACTTAGATGTACAGTGCCAGACTTATGAATTAAAAGGAATACATGTATACACTGTACCTGCAAGTCTTTTTGGTCTTTTTTGTTTTCTAGAGTAGGTGTCCTAGTCACAAAGTCATTCAGTGTGCTGTGGGAAAATCAAGTCACTCCAAGTTAGTAATTGGACAGGTCTACTCAATGCACCTACAAACCTTCTTCTCTCTTATGCAGTACCTGAGAAGAAGAAAGTGTCCAGGAGGAGCCAAGTTCAACTGCACAGACTCTTTGAGAAGTCCTAATAAGGACTGGAAGTTCTCCTGCAGGGCTGAGACAGGCAGTCTGTCAAAACCAAAACAAAACCAAAACACATAAAAAGTCTTAGGTCAGTTAAGGGAAAAACAATAAAAAACCCTGCAACATACATGGGTAACATCATGGCCTAAAAGCTTCCATCAGGATCAGATCAGTACTTTAGATCCTGCCCCTTTCTAATAGGAATATGCTGGTTTGAATATACTCCAGATATTCCTCTCAAGAGCTATTGTAATTAGCCTGAGGGAGAAGAGGAAGGGACACAAGATGTCTCCTCCCATAGATTGGCTCTCTGAGGAGAATAGCTGAAAGGTGTAATTATTAATACTTCTGACAGATGTCTCCTGAAGTACAGCGATAACAGCAATGCTGAGAACACATACCAGATTAGGTCTCACAACCAGCAATTTTATCATATCGTAAACCAGTGTAACCCAACACAGCAAAATGATAACTTTAACCCAGCGCCCAGAGGTGATAAAAAGCACCAGAGGGAACATACACAGCAAGCAAGGTGTGACATAATGCAACCCTGAGAAAACCAATTCAGAGCAAATAAAGCTACATTGTGACCAGAGACTGTTGAACTAACACAGTGAACGCTTATAACACATTTGTTTTAACATGCTCTGGTAAGATCTGTCCTTATCTCAACCCTCTTCAAGAGTGCCAAAAAGGACTCTGGTGATTTAAGCCAGCTGGCAGCTAAACACCACACAGCCACTCACTCACTGCCCCTGGTGGGATGGGGGAGAGAATTGGGACAAAAAAAATAAGAAAGTTAAAATTAATGAGTTGAGATAAAGACACTTTAATAGGACAGAAAAAGAAGGGGAAATAATAATAATAATGATGATAAAAGAATTAGAATATACAAAACAAGTGATGCACAATGCAATTGCTCACCACCCACTGACCAATGCCCAGCCAGCTCCTGAGCAGCAGCCCCTGGCCAGCTTTCCCCCTGGTTTATATACTGAGCATGATGTCATATGGTATGGGATAGCCCTTTGGCCAGTTGGGGTCAGCTGTTTCAGCTGTGTCCCCTCCCAGCTTCTTGTGCACCCACAGCCTCTTTGCTGGTGGGGTGGTGTGAGAAGTTCAAAAGTCCTTGAGTTCATGTAAGCACTGATCAGCAGTAACTAACACATCAGTGTTATCAACATTATTTTCAACCTAAATCCAAAACACAGCACTGTACCATCTACTAGGAAGAAAATTAACTCTATCCCTGCCAAAACTGGGACACTGATCCAACAACATGGTATAAATATCCCTAAGCATAGGCAATATGCATACATCTGTAAATGCTAGCAGCACATGCAGTATGCCAGTCAGAGGGCTGTGTCTTCAGGAGGAAGAAAAGGAATAGTTTAGCCTACCAATCCACGGCATGTAATAGCTTACTGAATACAGTATATTGTACAGTCTGATATATTGCAAGGCTTCTGTGAGGAAAGCCAAGTACATGAAGAGTTTTGATCAAAGGAGTGTTTCCAGTCAACTGCCTGACCCACTACATGTCCAGCAAAAACTGCACCCATAGCAGTTTTATTGAATTTTTAAGTTCTCTATCCATTCATCTGGCAACATAGAACAGATAAGAAGAAAGATCGTAACAAATTATACAAGTTTCTTGCTAATGAGAGGCCTGAAGTACCGTGCAGTATTGGTATGAAATGAGGCTTTCAGACTGGCATTATCAACAGATCAAATGGAACATAATTTCATAGCCCAGTTACTTTGTGTCTATCTGTCACCTAACAATGAAGTAGCAATAATCATTTCTGATATTGTGTTCTGTGACACTGGGACACAAAGATCAAAGTAAAGCACAAACAGTGATGCTGGCTGTTATCCTAACTACAGTAAACCAGAAAGTTTCTTTTTATAATGGCTGAATTACCTTTGAATGAAAGCATAACTGAACTGCAGCACTGGAATATCTACAAGAGAAGATTTCTGAAAAATAAAAGCAAAACCACAATTATCTGCCAGAAGATTAAAAAAAAAAAAAAAAAGTTCCAAACTGTTGAATATTTGTGTTCAATGCTTTCTTCTTAGAAATCACTTGTACTCCAACAGGTGACCAACTATGTCTATACAGCAGTATGAAGGAATTCACAGCCTTAATAGAGGACCCTAGTCAGAAGCAGACACATCACTTTGGAACATCTGTTACAGTTTATTTAGAGCTGTAGGAGCTCCTGTAATGGTGTGCACAGTAGCTAAACTGACTTCCTTGAAAACCAACTGGAAGACAGCAGACACAATGTGAAGCACTGTTCAGGTAAGGGTAGAAAAATAGAAGTACATCATTAAGTTGTATATCTGCAGCAACTTCATGAAAATTGTCAGTGTCTTTGGTACTGGAGGACCCTATACTTTTTCATCACCAGTAACTTCTCTAGCAGAACATTCTGAAGAACGGACTTACACTGATGGATAAAAACACAGAAACGTATATTCTGGAAAAACTTACTTATTCAGGTGCAAAAGAGAATCATACATTTAGAAAAACCCAAACTTTCCTTCTAGCAATATTTAGATGACACATTGGAATAGGTCCAGAATAGAATATATTAAGAAAATGGGATTATCTTAATGGTTACCTCTTCGCCCTTGATTTGTGATGGTTTCTTGACTACCTCTTTGATTAGATGTAATATAGTGTCAATTTTCAATGTGTTAAGTGCACATATTAAGTCCACAAGAATAAGCTGAGACGCACTAGCCACTGGAACAATCTGACAAAACAAAAGACACAGCCCTCAGATCACTGTAGCAGGCAAAACATGAAGTTGAAAAAAAAAGCTTTTTGTGTGATTACTCAAATATCAATACTTATACAAAACATAAATTGGACAAGTTAAATCAAGCATGCAATAATTTGCCATATATGGATCTTCTCCCAACACCTTCATGAAAACAACTTCATTATGCTCAAATGAAAGCAGGAAAGAGGTGTTCTATGCCAAATAAATGCTAGTTTTATGGACTACAGCTCTAACCTTTCTATGGAAATAGAGCTGGTTCAAGGTCTTTAAAATACAATTGGAAAATTGCAATCTTAAGATTACAAACCAGCACTGAATAAAAAAAATGCCTGTTACTATCAGACTTAAACTGCTACACTGTCATTTTTATTTGATTATTTATCTAGTTTTAACTGTAGTCCTGATGCTTTATGGAATTACATGTAAATAGGAGTGTTTCAGATTTTTCAGTGACTTGCCACGTCACATGTAAAAAGCCCCAAAGAATCTGTAAACAAACGCAGAGTTTAGAACTGATCATATAAATGTAACATTCATCTAGAAAACTAAGCGTGCCTTTCTTCAGTTTCACCTTGCTTTTACTTTGATTCCTATGAGGTTTCTTGCTATTCCATACTGCTGCAACTGCTGCCATCAACTGGATTCCAAGTTGTGGTGTCAATGGATTTATGAAGTCCAGTATTTTAGTTCTTAATGTCTATAGAGGGGGAAAAACAACTGTCAATGCTCAACTTTGTAAGGCAAAGGCTGTCTCATAGTCTGTAAACATTCTTCCTTTTCCCAAAATATTCATAAAATATCAAAGAATCTCTTGATATACTTGGTAGTTAGACTAGTTTTAATATCTTGAGTTAGTTAGTGTATCCTCCTTACATATGGAAGGTGCATTTGTTGTAAAACATTGCAAAATAGAAAAAAATAATTTCTGTGTTCTATTCTCTCTTCTCCTACAGATATTTTCACTACATTTTATCAATATCCACAAACAAGAAGGGAAAGTCTAGTATTTTTATTCCTGCAGCTATATGTTCTACTGCCTGTGGAAGGTGCTGACAATTCAGGGGCGGTTAGCTCTACAGCAGTTATTAACAGAAGCTCACAGAAAGACCAAAACATTAAACAGATCAGGATGGTGAGATACACAGCAGTTTAAAAGGACTCCTACTTTAGTTGCTTTAAAGTAGACTGAAGAAGAGCCTTTAGTTGTTCCAAAGAAGTCAGTTGGTCTTTTTTGAGAGTCTTCCCTCTTTATAACACTCCAGAGAAGAGACATGGTATTAATAATGCGAGGTAATTCTTCCAAAATGGCATTCCTAGCGTTTCTCAAGTTTGCAGGTTCAACTAAACAAGAGGACTAGAAAAAAAAAAAAAAGAATATTGAAATACCTTATATTATGCACCACAGAGTAACTACTCTTAGGAGAGTTATAGACAACTAGGAGAATTATAGACAACTTTTCTAATGACAACTTTAAAAATAATTCAACTATTCTATTTCTGAAATATACTGCTGCTATTAGAATCTACTGAATTTGTTGTTCACTATTTTGGCACTGAGAATTGATTTGTCTAGTGAATTATTAGTAGTATAACATCCTCTTCTGACAAATGCTATAGAAAATAAAAATTGTGGAGAACACATCAGCATGTTATAAACTCAAAAGAAAATAGAAGACTTTGTTAATGACAGAGCAACTGTAGACAAGCTACATGGGAGTAATACTTGCGTGATCAAGATCATAATGAACATCTTGTACTTAGGATTAACTTCCCTGTCTTCAAATAAAAAAATAAGTTCAGTTCCTCTCCGTTACCCTTTTACTTTGTTTACTTCTTTTGGTTTACTGTGAGGCTTCTTTAAGGTTATCTTCTCGTATAAAACCTGCTTTACTATGTATATTCACCTCTGAATGGAAAAGTTTGATGAACTGCTGCCAAGGCATCAAATAAGTGGTAGGCATTAAGCACATACCTTTTTATTTTGAGTAGGGTGATCCAGAAGGCAGAAGTGACCAATGGTTGTCAGGCCTTCCAAAAGGGTTAGTGGGTAATCAGGTGTAACATTTTCTCTTTTAGAAGTTAAGCTTTGAATGAAAAAAAAAAACAACAAAGCAAAACAAAACCCAAACCAGTTATCAGGCCAAGTGTTATTTCCTTGATTAAAAATTCCAGTAGAAATCTGCTTCTGTTCAATAGTTAAAAGAATACTGGAATGACCAGACAGGACTACCAAAACAAAGGATTCACAAACTACATTTGAACAACCCTGTTTACTTGTCTAGATCTTTCAGAATGACCACAAAACTTTAGCTTTCAATTATATTTTCCTACTCCTTTCACTTACTGCCTGTTCTGAACAGTATCACTGTATTTTTCTACTTCACTGTATCCCTCCTCAATTAGTCCTCCAAAATCCTCAGTCTTGTCAAAACTGGGAACTTCTTTTTCACTTGGATAGCAAGCAGAGAGGGATAAGAAGTATCACAGCTGCCAGTCATCCTTGCTGCTGGCCTCCTTTCTTCTCTTCCTCCAACTGCAGTGAGCCTGGCTGCAACAATACGTCCTCTGCCCCACCCAGCCTCGATGCCTGTATATGCAGCAGGGCTTAAAGATCAAGCTCTGGGAGCCACAGTGCTAAACCAGTAAGTTACTATGCACTACTCTGTAGCAAGGGGAACTCTTCAGCATAACAAATCACACATTGCAGACTCTTACCTTGCAAATGCTTTTGCAGATGTTTTCACAGCTTCATTTTCATACTGTTTGACAAGCTCATCCAGGTTTTTACATATCTGTACAACAAATGGTGCCACAGTCCAGCCTAAGGACTTCCCAAAATAGGGCAGGGAACCTGTCACTAAGGCTACCCAAGTGGGATGCATCCCGTGGCCATACTCTGGTTGCAATCCTCTAACCACAGCGGAGACAAATAATCCCTGTGAGGTTATTGGGTGTGGATACACATATTGCATTGCACCAATAGACTGCTGGAAATTAAGAGCCTGCTGCCATTCCTTAGAGAGGTCTGGTTGATTCTCCTGCTCCCCATGAGTCTGTCCAAGATGGTGCTCCAAGACAATCAATACCTGCAAAAGCTTCAGCAACTCAATCTGGAGTGGGTGTTCACTCCATATTTGATCATGCCCAAAATTTATTAGGTTCTCTTCAAAGAGCTCTTCTTCAGGAACATTATTAGCTCCATCTGCCATAAGAAACTCATACCGCTTCTGACTTATATACATAGATGCAGACAAAGAAAGAAGAACAAACTCCTGAATTTTGCATCTTCCTAGCAAATTGCATATGAACTCTACATTCTTATTTTCTGCTGCCTTTGCCATAGTAGCTAGCTGCGTCATCATTCTAATCAGTACTTCCACACTTTTAACCTGAACATCTCTGTTGCCAAGCACATCTCGGTGTGTGACCTTCAAGTAGCATGGATAATATGAGCGCAGAAAACTGAGACAGAGGTAAGTGAGCAGTTCTATTAGAAGAGAATGGGGACACATGGTTGGGGACTGAGTCTGGAGCTTGCCATAAAAACTCTGCCCTACAAGAGCTTCCTGATGGCGAGCTAAGAGGTTGTAAATAAGATTCAAATGTGCTGTGGAGCTGGTATCCATGCTTGTAGTAGCTACAGCTTCAATAAATTCTTTAGGGTTTGTTTTAAGCACTGCCTCCAGAACAGAAAAAGCATACAATACCCTCTTAGAATCATAAGGCTGCAAATATAGCAGCATGTGTTTGAACAGAGCTTCAATCATCTCCTGTTTTTCCTTCTGTTGCTTGAGCAACCTAGAATTGGTAATTTCCTGGAGCTCCAAGTCCACCTCTTCATCACTTGACAGAGACTCCGATGCCTGAGTCCTCTCAGAGTCAGCACGTACAAGGTTTAACGCTGCACTGGATTTGGAGCTTTCAGGAAGGAATGCACTGAGCAGACTCACATGATTTGTGGTCTCTTTGCCATCAGTTGCAGCACTGTCATTGTCCTCATTGCTCACTTCTTGCAGCTCCAGAGAAGGAGAAAAAGAGGATGTATTTTCACTGTCATGGCCTGTGCTGGTGTCTGCTGATTCTGTGTGCTCACTATTATCTTGGTCACCATCTGCTTCATGTAAGATAACTGGATTATAAGAGCCATCATTTTCAGGCTGTTCAGCTTTTAACTCCAGCTTCTCTGGGTCTTTTTCCACTTCTGCCCAAATTGCTTCTCGGTCCACAGTAGTAAACTGACTCAATGGAAGGTTTTCCTCAGAACTGCTCTCAGAGATGCCAGACTCTTTCAAAGAGGCCTTTTTCTTGCAAAGCAAATCACGTATATCTTCTGGAAAAAAAATTACTTGTTTTGGGGTTTGTTTTTCAAAAAGAGCATGTAATTGTCAATTTCACATACAGAAACATAGAACAGTTTGGGTTGTAGATTACCTTTAAAGATCATATAGAACAAAACATGCTTTATATTGAAGACATCGTTGTAAGAAAAAAGAAAAGGTTACAAAGCTCTCTGCTCTGGTATTAATTGTAACGAGTTAAGCTAAAAGAAAAATTAAAAGAAGTAATTGGTTAAGGCAAGAATTATCTATTTTATTTTTAAGTGCTTGAGCAGTGCTAACCTATTGTATGTGCAAGAGAACAGGATCAAAACATTAAGCTGTTTCACTTATGCTATGACTCCCTAGATGTGACAAATTTTTTTTATGCTTCCTGAGCATAAAGTGTTTGCTGAGATCAGAAGGGAAACGAGAAGGGTAGCAACAGAGGAACCGTGTTTGTATAGCATCTAATAAACAGGTCCTTTTGGATGCTATAAATGTTTGTCATCTAACTATTTGCCAATCAAGACAGAAAACCAATTATGTAAGCTGACAGCTAGATTAACAGTAATCAGACAGACAGTGACAAGGAAGTTTCTTTACACAAAGCTACCAGACACTTCTCCACCGACTTCCTGCTCTGCTCCAGGAACAACCCTGGCTACTTGAGCCAAATGGTGCAGCATCTCATATCCATACCATTCTCAGCAATCCCAAACCTGAACACATTGACAGCCTTCACAGGACTTTGAACTTGGAGCAAACCCTGGCTCCATGCCTGTCTTGGTCTTCCTCAGCTGCTCCCCACAGGTGTCTGTCACACTTGTCACACACATTGTGAATCACATATGACACACAGATCATATGTGGTTCACAGTGGGTCTTATTATGGGTCTTAAAATGGACATCTTCCAGCTGTCAAATTCAGCTTGTCCACATAAAGACTCCCTGCCACATTCTTAACTTTAGGTGGCTGAAGGTCATCTTCCATTCCAAACATCTGTCTTTGCTTCTACATCCTAGCTCTGGGGATCCTTGAGACATATGCCACAAGGGCTCAGCTCTCCTCTTGAATCAAGGCAGATCTTTGGACAAATACATTTTAATTTTCAGAATTCAGCAGAATTAGAAGGGAGGTTTTGTGTGCTGTGACCTAGACAGCAAGATGTTCCTCACAACCTCTGGTTATTAACACAATGCTGAAGGAATCATTAGCAAAATATTCTGAAAAAAATAATTTGATACGAGGGTGCATTGTGTTCAAGGGCAAGACTGGGTGGAGAGAGTAAGATTTGCCTGTCCATCCTACCGAGAGAGGTATCCTGTCATCCTACTGAGACAGTTCGTGGACTGACACAGTCACCAAACTGCTCCTGGATTTCATTTGGTTGCAGACCTAGTTTTGCTCGAGAAGGGATCCTGTACACAGTGAACACACATGCAGTGTGGATCATCTGGGAATGGCAACGAGAAGTGTGGCACAAGATCCCAAAGCAAAGCAGGGAGCAATCCAAACTAAGAGTGTAGGTGCAGTCACCATAACAGAAATGATCATTAGGCCTTCAAGTAGCATAACTTACTCCTGAACTCTGTTTTAGGCATCGCTATAGGTACTAGGATGAGGAGGAATCCATGGAACTGATGCAAGACAACTCAGGGTAACAGCATGCCACTGTATTTCAGAGACTGCCTTCAGTCGGTGTTCAGGAGTATGCAGTGCTATATTAGCACTTACAATTTTAGTCCAAGAACAGTTTTACCTGCTGAATTTTTCTGTTTGATGTAGTGGATGGACGTGCGCTGTGTCTTTGGATGAAGCAGCAGCAGCAGGACTGGTTCAAGAATCCGTGCAACATCATTAAGTGAAAGAGCACGGATCAGCCAGCCCTGTGCTGCAGCACCAATTGCGCCATCTGAACAATTGAGACTGTCCAGTACCACAAACAGAGACCTGAGTGAAGAAATCAGAATGAAGAAATACAGTTGAAATCCCTAAAAAGGTTAATTCAAACAACAAAATAGTGGCAGGGAACAGACATAGTGCATGTTCAAGTAAGCACCGGTCAATGGCTCATGTCTTCTAATGACAGCTTGATCATGCACATTTTCTGGAACTGAGGTCAAGTACTCATGCGTTTGTAAAAGCAAGGCCAGACACATACTCACACTCTAGAAGAGCAGCATATTTTAAAGTTCTTTCACATATTCATTTAGACAGATTCTTAATGCTTTTGTCCCATTTTATACAAGGTTATGGTCTTGTAAATAGGAAGTAAAACTGTGAGATTTTTCATAAGTAGCTGGTTCTATTTTCTTTGGAAATAAAAATGCGTTATGCAGAAACTTGTCTACAAGCTACTCATATGAAGCTCTTTCTATAGAAACTTTCTTCATACAAGAAAATGCACCACGCGTACAAGGTCCCCCATGCTTTGCAAATGTAGTAAGATCTTCCTTTTGTTCTTGTTTCTCTTTTTGTCTCTACAGAGAACTTTTTCCTACCTCAGAAAAAAAGAACATAATAAAGCTTGATACAGTTAAACATATAAATGTAAGTCCAAGACAGTGGAAATGGAAAATACCTATCAAAGGACCGATTGTGAGAAGTCACTCTGCTGCCTTGGATCTCTCTGGTCAGGTGCCACATGACAGAGAATCTGAACAGTGCTTCCAGCCTTGTCCCCTGTGCAAGAAAACAAGACAGATACATATTTTTTACAGCATTCATCTTTAAGTAAAGTTTTAGTGATTTTTAAACCTTTAGCAGAACAATAGCTATTGTGTAGGTGACTGCTAATCCTTCTCAGGTAGTTTTCTGTCTTGCAATAGACTAAATCAAAATGCCATATACCCATGAATGCACAACCAAAACAGCCACAGTGTTAATAGGAGCAAGAAAAGATGTGCTGATACACCGAAAATGTATTTCAGGGCTCTGGTGTATAAACACTTAAGTATTGGTTTGGTGCTAGGGAGGTTTAAAAGTTGGATGACAAATGGGAAGACACTCGTATATTAGGTAGTGTTTGTTATTGGTAATTTTGTTTGAAAGCTTTTAAAAGATTTCCAAACTCTTAAGTTGCAAAATTGTAAGAGCAAATGTATGAAAACAATACGGAAGACTGAAGGTGGCTGTTTTAAGTTTTATTGTGCAAGGCACTTCTCACAAATACATTGTAAGCTATTAAGTAACTATTCTGACTTACTATTAAACTTAGTCATTAAACTAGGTAATTAAAATAATTAATAACTGGGTCACTTAAAATACAGCTAACTTATTATGAGAACTAAATGCTGAGCCAACATTACATTGACATACATTTATAAAGCAATAAAATCTTTTGTTGGAATATGCAGTTTACAATATGAACATAAAATAAAATTGGTTTAGAGTTTTTGGTGGAGCTAGGTCAGTTTGGAAACACTGACAAAAACTGCAGGCTTTTAGAAACTACATGATTTGGGCTGAAACTAAAAAGCTCCAGTGACTGAACTTGTATCCAGGGATTAAGTTTAGCAGTATTCCTGTGATGAATAAATTCCAGGAAATTGTAAAGTCATGAACAGAGTCTGTCAGACTCTTGGAAGATACAGAGACCATGGAAGTGAAGACATGGAGTGGAAGGGAACTGGAAGCAGACTGAGAAGCACTGGAATAATTCTACAGTGATGAAGGGACTTCAATGAATAAAGAACTTACTTTATCATGATCCAAAAGTGCATGGCAGATAATGTCTTCGCAGATATTTGCTGATGGTGCCAAGCAGTGTAGCCTGTAGAACAGCTCCACACATGCAATATGATGCTCTCGTGTCTCTTTGTTCAGCTGATTCCAGAGCACACAGGCTACTCTCTAGGGAAAAATAGCATCAACAAGTAATTTATATTAATAATAGTAATTTATTCCCTAACTTAAAAGCTTTCCATTGCGCAAATCCCCTCTACTACCAAAAGACATTTCCAAATCACCTTAGTTTAGCAAGGAGCAAAAATTCAGGTTATACATTCAGACCTAAAGGAATGTAACTCTCCTACCCTAGTAGGACAGATAATTCAAATGTATGTGCATGAGAAGGTAAGAAAAGCATTTCTGCTTCTATTTTCTGGGTCAAAACTTAATAGATTGTTCATGTGTCAAGCACAGCAATTGGCAACACGGTAATTAAGAAAAAGATCTTGGAACCAACACTCATACCAACACTAATATCAAAAAATGTTCAGGAGAAGAAAAGAATCTTTGAAATGTGTATACTAAAACCAAGGAGGATTACTCAGCCATTAACATTTTCTCTTATCTGAAAATTTAGAGTGGTATCAAAGTTTTCCAAAGCATAGTTTTCAACATAATGAAACCAAACCCTTCAAGTCAGAAATCAAATATATCTACCTCCAAGAATTTGGGCACAAAACCCAAATAGCAATTTGAAAATAACCTTTCACTTTTGAACATTCTGTTGAGAAACACATGCAGAAGAATGGAATTGCTTTGCAATACTTGTGGAAGCAAAAAAAAAGCAGTGTGTCATTGTTACACAAACATCCTGCCCCCAACATCCATTCAAATAACATTTGCTTTCCCCCACCATCCTTAGAGGTTCAATCTAGTTGGGCAGTAAAAAAGGAAAAGCAAATTGACACCTGGTAGAAATCTGTTTTCTCTGAGATGATCTTTAGGACTCCAGGAGCAATGGGAGGAAGGGTGACCATCTGTAGCTTTCCAAAGAAGGGGTTGTGGCCAGACACTTTGTATCTCTTCATTCTATCTTCTATCACAAGCGCCAGTGACTGGGAATGGTTGATCACCTCCAGCAGCGTGAAGATGGACACATTCTGCACATAGCAGTCATTTATGCAACAGCATATTGTCATTAAGGACTTCAGCCACAGAGGGAAGCTGGCATCACAACCTTCTCAGAGGATAAGTGAAAAAACAAAGAAAAAAACTTTTTTTTTAATAATCACAAGGTTGTGGTCATATTTCCAAGAATCCTTCAACCAAGCTCAGAGGACCAAGAGTCAAAAATGACTACCTAAATCCAACTGCCATGTTGGATATCATCAAGTCCCTTACTTCATGAAGGACTTGCTTCAGAGCAAGTTATATTCTTTTCCCTATTTCTCCCAGCAGAAAGCTCTTGCAGGACCTTGGTAACCCAGTAACTAATGGATTTCTGCTTTCCATTTTATGCTTACTCACACCTAGTTTTTACAGCTGCTGCTTTCCAGCTCTCATTGTCAAAAACCACAGTGGTCTGCTGATCCAAGGATGCTCTTTCACATAGCATTGAGGCATATCATTTCAGAAACGGTGAAGCACCCAAAGAACTGATATGGCTAACATCAAGTCAAGTCATCTTTGCCTATCCTGAGTGAATAATCAGATACATTTTTATTAAGGCTAGACTGGAAACAGTCTGAAGTACGAGTTTTGGCTTCAAACCCAAATGCTTTAACTGCTTTACTATCACAGCTACTCTTCCTTCTCCACATCAGACAACTTCTGTATCACATTTAGTCCAGAACTTCATTATCAGAGGTCTTTTCTTTCTGTCTTTAAACCTTACTGTGCTCTCCAGGATGTGCAGTTGAAAAGAATTTTGAAAATAAAACTTCTATAACCCTAGGCTGATATTTCAAAGAAACATAATTATGAAAGCAAGCCTTGTAAGTCGAGCTACACTGCTGACCACATGCAAGGCACTGCAAATATGCAAATGTCCGTGTCAGGGAGACAACTCGCCCATGTAGATGATGGGCATATCATCACATTGCTGAGGAAGACATCAGAAATTTCTAGTGAGGTGAGGATAAGAACTCAATTTATCCAGTTTCTCACCTTTCTATACACTATAAGCCTATCTTGTCAACTGGTCTTCAGGCCAATAACTGCTTCTGTTAAAGCTAATGAATGAAATTGAACTCCCAGAACAAACAGACCCACCAGTTATACAAGATTATTCTTTCTTAGTTTACATTGGACTGGACTCCTTTGAATTCTGAGGTTTATGGAAAGAGATTATTTTGCTTCTGGTATGGTTGAGAGCTCCAGTTTTCTACCTACACCCATCTTCCTCTAACATAGCAGATTTCCTGAAAGCCCTGAACCATGCCGCAAGGCTACAGGCCAGAAGGTCTTTGCATCCCTTCAGCTACAAGTTTTGTAGTGAAAGCTTTCAAAAGAATGTGAATTATAAAGCTTGGGAAAAATTGTTCCTCAGATGCAAGACAAAAACCACATGCTGATGTGGGGAAGTCTTTAATTCACATGCAACTTGCCTTCAGCCCTGTCAAAAGACATTACTACTGGCCCATGTCACACAGCTCACACCGCTATTCTCTAATGTTCAAGTTTCCTAGTAAAGAATCTTTTCTTACCAGGAACATGAAACAGAGAGAGATACAACTGTTCCATTTCTTCCTCCGAAAGATAGACTGGGAATGTGGTACAATCCAACAAAAGGTGACAAGCTGCAGAGAAAGCTTCCTTGCAGTCACCCCTAAGGGGTCCCAAGACAAGCATCACTTGTTCAAAGTCCCACTCTTCTTCTTCCTTTTCCTTTTTATTACCAGAGTTGTGGTCAGAAGGAAGAGGATTAGAACTCTTGTTCTTGAATGGTGACCCTCGAACTGAGAACAAGTCTGAAAGCATTCGTTTAAACTGAGGTACAGTGATTTGCTTCGTATCCCATGGGCTCTTCTTCTTGCTACCACTTTCAGGCAATCTGTAGCCATTCTCTTTTTTCTCTTTTCCACTCAGATTCATTGCTGAGATGCTTTCGTTATTTGTTTCTTGAAATCGCATCCCAAAAATGTATTTACTGGAAAACTTGGCAACCAGCTCTTGGATGCAATATAAAGTCTTCTGAATGCTTCCCCCTTTCTTCCATACATCATCTCTCTCAAGGGTCACAGTTGGCACCCCCAAGTGCTGAGAGAGCTCTGGAGAGGAAGTGCTTAGACCAATTCCACTGTCTTCTGACTTCAGGGGAGGGAATGATGTCTCATCCTCCTCCTGCAGCACAGACTTAGTCTCCAAGGTTATGTCCACATTTTCCTTTTTCACTGGGCTCTAAAACAGAAATGTTAATGTGGTTAATGTTGCACTGCATAGATCATTTTAAACTACACAGAACTGTGGCAGGCACTAGGGAAGACCAACGACAGAAAAAAACCCCAAACCCTAGTATTTGCAATTTCCAGATTACTTTTACAAAATCATGAGACACAGTTATTTGTATGCAACTAATTTCAATTGCATTTAAAACCTAACAAATGTTTGTATAATCCTCACACCTTGATTCATCAAACACCAACAGATCCACAGCTACAAATGGAAATGTTTCCTTAAAATCAATTCACCACTAGAACAGTATTACATATGTTGGATTATTTCTACTCAAATGCATGTATCTGTTCTACTGAAAAATTCTGGCAGGCTGTGCTTGTGTGATTGCTTTATGCCATCTATTCCTCACTCCCTATCATGGTCTTTTCACACAAATAATACCACATTGTGTTAAACTAAAATATTAATTGAAAACCTTGCAAACCCAACCAGCTGTAAAGCTGGGCTTGATTTGCAACTTGAATCTTTAGCAACTGCATTATACTGAGTACTTTTCAAAATCATTGAGATCACATTCTTCTGAAGAGGTAAGATTATAGCTCCAGTTTCAGACAAGACTATATACTCCTTCACAGTCACAAATAATTCACACAAGTCAGAACTTAAAACCCAGTAAGTCTAACAAGGCAGCAGATAGCTCTGGAAGGGGTGAAAGAAGGTAGGTTCAAAAATCTTTATTGCTGCAGTTATTATGCAGGTTTAAGTTAAGAGAATTAGCATTTTAAAATGTTATGTCACTAACAATTTCAAACATTTAGAAGTAGCTGAAAACCACCTACCCCATTTCCACTTCCTGTCTCAATGTCCAAGTAGGAAGGAGGCATTTGCACTTTGCTAAGCACCTTAAAACAGGTCTTTAAGGCATGAGTGAGTTCTGGTAAACCTAATACTTCCATATTTTCCAGGAGAGACTGCACCATATAACTGAGCATCTGTGGAAGATACTGAGTCTGCACTTCAGAGTAGAGCTCCTAAAATAAATAAACGTCATTTAAGATAGCTATCACATATTACTGTCTATATTCATATTTCTGTCTATATTCAATATTGTCATATTCAGCTGTCTAACAACACAGGTCAGTGATTGATAAAGTCAGTTCATGAATTGTTAACCTGTACAAACCTACTTAAGCACTATTCCGCCTTTCTTCATTCTACATGATGAACACCAAATCATACTCCAAAAATCTTATTATAGCTAGCCAGCTACTAAGAGACCCAAAAGCCCCAGGAAATTATTTCTCAAGATGCAAAAGGTACACTTTTTCTTTCCCTTGACAGAATCACCATATTTTAAAATGCAAATAGTTTTTATTTTGCTAGGCAAATAGCATGGGTAGCCATACATAAGTCAGCACATAAAACTATACTTTGCAGGGCATAGCATGCATATGTACACATATGTCAATTTGCCCATTTTCATCTTAGGTAATCACAATATGAATTATTTGATTTTAAGTTTCTTAAGACTTCAAAGCAGCTTAATGTTGCCTTACCAAAGGAATCACATCAAGAAGAAACACCAACAGCGTGCAGAGCTCTGAAATTGTGGGAGGAGTGCTAATATTTTCAAGAAGATATCTCGTCTGTGTGGATTTGTTTCTGGATGGAGAGAAACATTATTATGTAAGCTTTTTTCTTCTCAAAATTCGTATTATAATAAAAAGCTTCATTAAACCCAGCACAAAACACTGAACAGCCAGGCTTTTTGAAGCAAAGTAAAATGGAACTTCTAATATAGCAAGATAAAAAATTCTGTCAAAACCACTTTATTGTAGCTTGCATGTGGGATACTACAGTACTTCTAATTTTCAGATTGAATCTCTATGCAATCTTACTGAAGTATAATCTTCTCCATTGTATTTAGAAACCAATAGAATGATAGATATCTCTATTTTTCTTGAAAACCCACTTGTTCTTCCAAGAAAGACCTCTCAGCCTCCCTTTCCAAAACTTTTTCTCCTCTGTCATTTTAAAAATAATTTCTTTTGTTCTCAGGTTGCTACTTTACATCTAATCATTTACCTGTTTGCATTTTTAATTACTTTAGGATTCAACTTGCATACCTGTCTAATTCTAACATGTGTTTTGTCCCTTCCAGAATTTAAATGTTTCAGTAAACACTATTATCTTACACAAATAGCTCTTAAGTGGCATTTCTAAGAGGAACACTACTGTTTGACAACATAAACACCTGAAACATTCTTCAAAACATTTGGTCATGTAATCCCAAAGAAAATCTGTGCTTAAGGATGTGATCAACAAATTGACTGTCTTGACGATTTCTGAAGCATTTTTGTTCTCTTTTATTGCACTGTATGAAAGGAAAAAGAAAAAAAAAACAAACCAAAAACAAATGTTAGTGAAGATTCCAAGAGCATGCACATTACAGTACTAGCTGATGTGTTCTGAAAACTTCCCCCCCTTTCTCTACAGGCTAAATGATATTGATTGGTTTAGATCAAGGACTAAGTCATTCTGGAACAGCTAGAGTTTAAGCATCTTTCTCCCAGATGAAAGAAGTCAAGTCTTCAACTTTGAAAATCAAAAGGCTAAGAGTTCTGCCACCAGACTGATTTTTGGCCAATATTAAGTGGGTTTAATCAACGCAAATCATGTGCAGTGTACTTTATTTTCTTCTCTGCTAACGAAGAGAAATCAATTGTGTGTGGGGAAAAAAGGAAGTAATAGAAAATCTGATTTTCCATACAGAAGGTCACTTTAACAACCTGACCTTCCTTAAATTGGTCAGATTTTAGTAATTCAGTTTAATATAACTGATAGAGTTTCAGTTCATAATTGAAAAGTTGTAGCTATACCTTGTAAGTATGTTGCCACTTTGATTGTAGCTGAGTTCAAGATCAGAACCAAGTGCATCCTTGCAGTAGGAATAAAAGGCTCTAATAACTTCAAGGAAGAGATCCCCAACAACCTGTGGCCCTACAAATGAAGGAAAAAAGAATCTGGTAGTTGCACCAAAGTGATTGCTAGGCAGCTCAGTTGCAAACTTGTATAGGCTTAAATTAGGGGTAGGTAGATGAAAAAACAAAACATTCACCCAAGCAGGAGAAAAATGCTTTTTAAAACGACAGATTTTCCAGTTACAATAAAATTAAATATGTGGCTAAATATATATATATATATGCATGCATTAATTCTACTTAAATGTCACCTGTTGTTCATTTTAGGAAATTTAATTAAGTGATGCTTGGAAAGCCATAGTACTGGTTCTACATTAGACTTAAGTCACTTCAGTAAGACACCTACACTGCAATCATTTATAAGTGGCCACAACCATAACCATGAATCTGCAGTTCATGCGCCAAAAATACTCTCCATGTCTGTAACCATAAGAAAAACAATCAGATTAACCTATATATGTTTAACATAGCAGCCTTGATTAAATTTCCAGGGACAGAAGATGGAAAAATAAGCAAAACGAGACAGTTTAAATGCTGAAATATATCAAAAATGCATATTTATACACAGTTTTAAGAGTAAGGTACAAAAGTTAGGTGTGTGGGGACAACTGCATCTAATTTTCAAGGGTCACTTTTATTATTTTATCTGAAATTGTCTATAAAGGAGGTGAACCAATAATAAGTACAATACCCTAAACATGGAAGCATTTAAAGTGGCATAAAAGGATTCCAATGAGTACTTCTAAAAAGGAAAAGTGAGGTGAAAGGTTCCTGTTGCGTTTTAGTTTGCTACCTTTAAGAAGCTGTGCTGCTGAATCCGTTTCAAAAGGAAGTGAAAGTCATATTGACTTAAGGCTTAATAAGTTATATTTTGTGTGCTGATTGCATCAGAAAGTTTAAACTATGCAATGCAGCTCAGCTAAATAACCCTGATTTGTAGTTCCGATTAACACTGGTTGTCAGCCAAATAAAACACACAACAGTTAAAATATTTGTCATCTACTTTCTAAATTAAACTAATCCATAAATTTCTAATGCAACAACCCTAGTGTCTTCTTCAGCATTTTTGTCAGGAAATAAAAGTGCTCTATATAAGAAACTTCAATTACAATAAATTTTGGGTTTGGGGTTTGTTTTTTGTTTGTTTGTTTGTTTGTTTGTTTTTTAAACAGCTAAAACCAGTGGAAGGAAACATTAGCACCACTGTCTTACAAACAGACTAACAATTGCTTCTACTAAGGTAGCATTCATTTGTTAGATAAGAAATAGAGAATCCTTATTTTTCCTGGCAGTGCTTTGATAATTCTTTAACAGGAAATGTGCTTAAAAGTACTTGCCTGACCCATGAAAGAGGATAAGCCTACCACATACAAGATCCTAGGAAACAAACTGCCACCCAAGGGTTTAGTCTCAGTACATGAGTTTTGTTCTAAATCTACGCTTAGAACATAATTTCAAAGACTTGTCCGCACATACACAGCTCTTACAGAATACTATTAAATCCTAAAACTCTGTCAAGTCATTTTGGTTTAGTTTTCACACAGAGAAAGGAGAACTTGACCTTTAAAACAAGGGCCAGCAGAGCCTCACCCTTCTGGCACTGACAACTTCATGTACACAACAGGACAGACATGTGACAGGGAAGAGGAGAAAATTCTTCATAGCTCAGTCATAAGGTCTAAAACTATAGCTCCCACAGCAGCATCAGGCTAGCACTAGCAAGCAGTGCCACTGAAAGAGGTATCCCTACCTCCTCACACACATAACAGGTTATTTCCAGTTGGAATACCTGCAGGTAAGTGGTACTGTCCACTCTGGCAGCAGTACCATCACACACTAGTTGCTGTGGGACTACACTGTCTGGAAAAGCAACAGAGTCATGAGAGTCTGATGCATGCATCTAGGGAGTCCTGCAAGCACAATCAAGCACTGGAAACACCCAGGCAAAAGCAGCAGTTTTCTGCAAAGGAGCCTCTTTATAAGACAGAACAAAAAGAGGTCTAACAGTGTTTTTAGAAAATAAGCTCCAAGGAATGAATTGAGTAAAATATTGAGACTAGGGCAGAAGTAGTTCTTTTTAACAGGTCCCCCAAATTGCAATTATGGGCACAGAAGAGTGTTATCCTCCCTAGGATAAATCCATCCTACAATGGAGTGCTCTGCAGAAGAGCCAGAGGTAACCTGGAGGGGATGCTTGCTCCAAAGCACCATTCTGAATGAGGTCCAAGGCAGGGAACACAGCTCCCTGCACACTAATAAACAATGCATGCATATTCAGAATTAGGAAGAACTGTGCAGGGTGTGTCTTAAATCCTGCTGTCAAAGGCAACTGACAGCCAAGTTCTAACAGGCATTAGCAGTCATAAGAGAAGTGACAAGCTACATTACCTATTTCAGGTTTGTCAAGGAGACTAACTAGGATGCGGAAGGGTTTCAAATAAGCTTGATGCTGTTCCTCTGTATCAGGCTCTGGGAATTTCTGCTGTAAAATTTCAATCAAACTCTAGTAAAAAGAAAACATCAAATTGTTATGGAGAGAAGAGAGACTGCTATTTTACTAATACCTGAAGTGTTTCTAAATTTGATTTTGTTTTGTACCGACTACAATTGAATTTCAATTTTCCATTAAGGGTAAACAAATCAATGACATCTTTTCATCATCTGTACTCAAGAGCTGTTGTTATTCAGAGAAGCATTTTTAAATAATTCAGGCAGTTCATCAAAGATGCTACATTTTGGTTTTGTTAGATTCCATTTGTATTATAAGCGCATCCAATATTTGGATAAATACAGCAGAGCAGGCATCCAGGTAGATGAAAATACAACCACCAAAATGGCACTATCTATAGGGACAGAAAGTGAAGGACAAACCAAGGAGCACAGTGAACAATTCTAGATTCAGTTTGCACTAACATTTGAGAGGATCACAAATACATCTGTATGCAGCAAACACCAACCTCAACTAAAAGATCTTTAGAGTATTTTCCAAAGAAATAAATAGCATGGTCTTCTGAAGTTGTTGAGTCTGGAGCAAAAGTACCACCTTTAATATCAGAGCCTACAAGATAAACAGAGGCATCAGGAGTACACAGAAACGCTACAGTACAGAGCACTACACAGATGCCATTTATACAAATACTGAAATTATACCGCATATTTAACCTCTGTTGTTTCAACACTTTGCTTGAAACAAACTCACATACTTCCCAAAGACAACCCACATATCACAGCTTGAGGTATCCTGATGTGCTATACTGGACATAAATGAAAACCAAGGCCTGGTCCACACATGGGGTTAGCAAGGAATGCCTTCATACAGCTACTTGGCTGCAGCTCTTGCCCTGATCACTTTTAGCATCTTCATGCTAAAAAGAGGCAGATGAGGAGAAGCTTTAGCTCTCTTATAGCCTCTCCTTTACAATTAAGCCCATGGGGGAATTAATAGACTATTACTTCCAGAAAAGCAAGGTTAAAATAGCACCCACTCTTCTTAGTCCAATGAATCACTTCAGAATAAATTGACTAGAGACTAGAAATAATCAGATACCCTGTGATTCAGGACAGCGAAACGAATTAATCTGTGAAGAGTAGACTTATTTGCCAAATAAATGCTTAATTTTACTAATCAGATACTTAATAAATGGCAACTAAACAACACTTTATTTTATCATCATTCATTAACTGCTGAAAAGGTGTATTGCAATTTTAAGCACTGACTTTTTTTTCTCTTAGGTATTCAGAATATTTGATATCACTGTATATTGTACAGTACCTAGCAACCATGCATATAATCTTCTATTGAGTGACATGTCTCTTCTCAACAATGTTTGTGTAGCAGCTGACAGAATATAGACTAAATCAGTCCTGTGCAATAGAATAGTGCTTTCATTGCAGTCCTAGGATGAAAAACAAAGGCATTTCAGCTGCTTATGAACACTGAAACAAGTCAAAGAGGTAATGAGTTGGTTTGGGTGTTTTGTTGTTTTTTTTTTAACAGGTGATATTAATGCTTTGGGAAAAAAAAACAACAACAAAAAAAGCAACAAAGTGTCAACAACAAAATATTCTGTAGAGAAAAAATCTCAAGAAAGGGCATCTGATTCAATTGTGATAATATTCATATTTAAGGTATAGAGCTACAAGTTAAGCTAAAAGTACTAAAGACTTCATTATGTTATAACTGCATGCCTAAAATTACTTGCTACTTTCAAAACACTGGCTATACTACCAGGTAAATTAGAAAATGATGGAGAACAACTCTAGTTTCAAGCAATATTTTCTCTCTAGTCTTTAACAGAAGTATCTTCGCTTAGCACAGACAGTTCTAAATGCTGAAATCCTAGTTGAAAAGAAGCTTGATATTTTTTGCACATGCCTTTTCTCAGGCCTGAATACTTCAAGAACATTCCAAATATCATGCAATTATCACTGTGAAAGCATGAGTCTGAGAAGCAGCAGAGTCTCCTCTACTATTAAAACTGATGCAGGAACAAGAAACTGCAGTATCTGTTTGATGACTTTGAAGGTACAAAATTCAGACTTTTGGCAATGACAGAGGTAGAAGCTGGATTGGTTTCACAGCAGACACTTTCTTACACAAAGTGTGCATGCGACTATACTAAAACAGTCCTCTTACCAAAGCTGTAGAAAATGGAAAGAAGAAGAGAATCACTTCTAGAGTGTTTCTTTGCACAAGGACATTTGAATCCAATACTGATACACACAAAGACTTTATCTGTTAAAGAAAGCACAACAGAGTTTACTTCATGATAGCACCTGAAGTGCAATCACTGCTAATAATCATAAGAAAGAAAGAAAGAAAACTTGCCTACATGTGAGCACTGTTTTTTGTAAGAAGCCATTTAACTCCTACCCACAAAGTGGGTTAAAAAAAAGAACAGGTAGAGAATAAATGTCAGGTTTATCTTCGGAATTGAAACACAGTCTTTTAAGGTTGTATGCAGTACCGATTACCAAAAACTACAGAAGCTTCAGAAGACTTACATTCTACAGGCTAACCAAAATCTGTATGGGAGAGTCTCTCCTATGTTTCAGAAAAGATGCTCCCATGAAGTAACAATATAAAGCAATTCTGAAGTGTGGACCTTTCAGCCTCTCTTTCTCTCCCTCCAAAACGTTAAGAGCAGGTTATTCAAATTTAATACAGAGAAGGCATAATTTGCTAGTATGCTTGTATTGTGGTAGATAAAACTGTTCTATGAGGAGCTCAATGAACTTACTGTGAGCCTATAATCGGTGCCAAGCATGTACTTCTGCTGTTTTCCAGACAGCTCTCTGTTGATGTGACTGACAACAAAAAGAGAAGCAGGCAGCCTGATGGATGGGCCAACCAGGACACTGCCCCAGAGTGCTCCATAGAACACTTCCTGGCCCATCAATAAGGAGAGCTTCAAAAGCAGAGCATCTGTTCTGTACGGAAATATAGTTTGCATGGGAAAACAGATTTTTGTTAGATCAGTTTGGTATCATAAAAAGGCAATTATACACAGAATTAATATTGACATCATTTATTTGTTTTTCTCATCTTGTATTATCAGTATTTCCCATTTCACATGAAGATGTCTGCATCTAATTATACAAAACCAGTAAAAAATCTTTTGTCACTGTGCACACTTATTGAGACAAAGCTTCTGTGGATACTTTAGAAACTTTGCCAGTAATTACCTGCAAGCATTTAGCTCTGACCAAATTACTGTAGAGGTGTGCAATAATGAACTGGAAATAATTTAAGATGGTGCAAGATTCTGGAAGCCAATTTAATCAATCTGGGATCTGGAAGATACCCTACAAATTTGTGCTTAAAAATGAATGGGCTTAATCTGTAAGTAACTGTATGAAGAAAAACATGAGATAAAATAACACAGTCAGCTACTGCACACATACTGAAATTAGTTTACTGGTAATAGATATGAAATATATATATATACTTATATATAATAAATATGGAATGTATATTGAAATTAGTTTACAAGTAATCACATTGGAGGTCCTGTGACTGAAGCCACATTTTCTGCTTTTGCCACTCTGTCAGTACTCCAGTGGTTAAATCACAATATTTACTATAATGTAGGAATTAAAACCTCACATGAGGAATGTAGAAGTGAGAAAAGAGGAAGATGTCCAGCACAGAAGAGGGTACACCACCATCCCCCACCCCTTGCAATGTGATGTTCTTTTCCATTTCTTTATGAAGTAGCCCTCAAGCCAATTTCCTTTTATATTTCGTGTAGGTGTGTGTGCAAACTCATGCATATGCATATGTCTAAGAAGGGAATAGTGTCCAGGCTGAAGCATGACCCGAGCTAGTACTTCCACCACTTTCAGGAACAGCACATGATGTATTACTGTTAGTCCTCAGTGTTGAAGATTCTGAAAACTTTCAGTGGAAAGCCTCTTGTTAAGTCAAATTTAAAATTAACCTGACACATGTTCTGAGAAGACATCTTGATCTACCTTTCCTGCTCCAGAATCATTATGATAAGTAAACTAAAGACTTTCTCATGTAAATTTATATTTCACAAAATTATATATTAATTTTATCATGAATCTTTCACAGGGAAACATACAGTCAGTTCCTGTCTGTGGTGCTGTCTGTTCAAAGTAAAGAGGAAAACAGTGCCATTAACAATAGGGGAAAAGGCATAAAAAACACAACTCAGATGTTGGAAGTTAATCTGCACTTCCCATTAACTCATGGCTTCAAATTTAGGCAGTTTCAAAATAGGTTCAGTCTCCCTAAAGAGACTTCAGATGACAGGAGACTTAGTTCCAAGGGAACACCTTTCTCCCTCACATCCCCAGCAACTAGTAGGGGAAAAAAGAAAACTATACACCATCACTTATAAGCCGCCTGACAAAAAGCACATACTAAAATTTATGTTTCTGCAGGAGATATGCAAGAGGTATATACTTGTCCATCGATCTGGTATTCCAGAATTGGCAACTAAATGCTATTCACCAAGTTGGGATCACATGCAATCTACTTTTAGCCACTCCACCAATTAATATGAGCCTTCAATTTAATACTTGTTTGTAAAAAGAGGCACTAGATGTAGAACTAGTTCTCCTTTCCACTGTAATCTTTGCAGCCTAGCATATCTCTCTCTGTGTTTTCGGGTTTTTTTTCCCATAAAGAGGAGAGAGAACAGCCAATACATCCAGACTAGTAGTACAGAAGGAAGCACATTACCACTGCAACATTAAGTAACCTCTTTAAACAAAGAAACATTTGGATGAAACCTAAGGTGTCCAAGTTCTTAAACAATCTTACAAAACAGTTATGGTAAGTGAAGAACAGTCAGTCTCACCTCTGTGCCTGGCAAAATCTTGGAGCAGTTTCTCCTGGAAGGCATGCTAAGGCACATGATAAACAACAAGGTGCTTGGTGACAGCCTTCACTAAGGGGAAATCCTGCCTGACCAATTTGGTGGCCTTCTATGATGGGGCTACAGAACTGATGGACAAGGGTAGAGCAGTTGATGTCATCTACCTGGACTTGTGTAAAGCACTCGACACTGTGCCACGTGACATCCTTGTCTCTAAATTGGAGAGACATCAATTTGCTAGGTGGACCACAGGTTCATAGGCATGGTTTAGCGTGAGGTGTCCCTGCCCATGGCGTGGGGGTTGGAACTTGATTATCTTAAGGTCCTTTCCAACCCTAACTACTCTATGATTCTATGATGCTAAGTAAAACCACTATACAAATGAGTGTAGAGTTGCTCTTGTCAGCACACTTCCTGATCCTGACTTTATCATACTAAATGCCACTGTCATTACTGCCAGGGCACCCAAAAGTGAAATAGACACTTTTTTCCACAACAGATTTTCTAAGAGTTTCCTCTTGCTTGTGTTTTCAGAACCTGAGGGTAAATATATGATACAGAAGTACAGGAAAAAATTCAGCTGCTCTCTTGTGTTACAATATTTAAATAGAATTTATCGATAAGGCAGTGGTTCGGGAATTCAGGTTAATTATTTAGGAGTTCAGAGGAGTTTTAAGAAATAAGTTTTTTTTTGTTTCTCTCAGCACTTCTATTTTTAACCCTCCCTTTCCTCTTCTCCTCCTGAGATAAAAACAGAGGGGGAAAAGATTTTTCTGCTTTAGCACTATCTACTGCATCTTTCATGGACTCATCATTTCTCCACCTTTAGAAGCTCTTTTATCAAGCCTTATATCTAGAGAGCTAAGAGAATTTTCTTGAGAATTCCTTAAAAAAGCAAAATACTGGCTATTATTTTTCATTAGCATTAGTTCTCACCTATCATAAATTTCTGATCCTTCTTCCAGTCCAGGCAGCAGTCCAATTACAAAGGCTTGAAGACCAGGCAGGAGGGACTTTTGGAGGGGAAGGAAATATTTCTCATACAAACCAAGGAGAACAGGCCTCACTGACATTGCTGCATTTGCCAGCAGAGGGAACAAACCAGAGCTTTATTAAAAACAAACAAACAAAAGAAATATTAGTTAATTAAAATAGACTGTGAAATGCATATGCTTTTAAAGAAAAGCTTACCTGTACAAGAATAAATCCTTGGCAAGCCATTTTGTCCCAATAATTTTAAAGATTATTTCATAGGTTTCTAATGCCTTTAAATGCACTCCACTGGGTAGTGCTGGATGCAAACACTGAGATAATCTTTTACTGATGATCAGCCGTCTTGGCAATAGAGAGTACTTCAGGTTACTCTGAAGAGCCTGTGGAAGAAAGAAGATGAGAATAAGTAGTTATAATGTAACAGAAAATGCATATGATGACTCTGTGTCAAAGGCTTCCTACTAGCACATTGAAAAGAGCTAAATACATTCAAGAGTTTTCTCTCATAAATGCACTTTGTTACACTGAAACAGGAGAATCCTGCAATTGAGTTTTCATTTGGAATCAGTCATAAACAATCTAGAAAAGTCTGATCTTACTTTGCTTATAGGCTGGAAAAGGAAGTTAAAGGACAGGACAGGGTACCCTCATAGTACCTCCAGGGGAACCAGGGAAGTGACAAGAAATGCATTTCAGCTTTTAAGGACAGAGAATAAAGCAACAAAGAACTACCTTTTCTCATAAATTTTAATTTCACTTGTACCTGAAATACAAACAAGAAACCTTCTGACCAAAGCTGGCATGATTAAATGGGACAATAGCATCTTAGAGTTATTTGTAGTTCTCCGTGGCTACATTTAGTAAGCTTTATTAACTATACCCACTGTACTGAGAAATATAAGTAAAAGATCTTCACAACAGGAAACAGTTAACTAAGTAGTGCAGACAGGCCAGGTCTCTGGAAAAAAAACAAACTAGCACTTCTTTGGAAAGGTTACTCTTTTCCTTTAATCATGCATGCATTTCAGTGAGGTTAAGAAGTATGTCTCATCAATTCAGAGACAATTAAAAAAAGATGTTGCAAGCAAATGGCACTTTAGCCTTTGATTGCTTCCTGCTAATGCAAACAGATGTTTCACTGTGGATTGACATTTGTGATATTTTCAGGATTAGGTAGATTCTTGACTCTCCTAAAGGTTAAGTCATTGTCTTCTACATAGCGGTTTTAAACTTGAGGTTCTTCTATCCTGCCTGAAAAAAGGTTTTGAAAAAGCAGCAGACAAATGAACCAGCACTTCTTTGCTCATTTCCAAGGAAAAAACAAACGCAGTTCAGCAATGATCGTGGCATTCACTTGAATGATGAATACTCTCGTTGGCAGTAAGAGGAAGAGAAAAAACCCACCATCTTTCAAAGGTGTGTGCAACTTATTGTTTAAGATTTTGCAGTTGTTGGACATGAGAATCCAAGACTACAGCAACATTTCACACATGAAACTAAACTAGCTTATACATGTGGAGTTACCTTTAATATCTTATATTTGAGAGATTTACTTATATATTACATGAGTAATATTAATTCAATGGTAAAGATTGAAATCCTTAATACTTGTAAGAACTTCAAAGACTGCAGGAAAGCTGGACTTTGAAACATTCTGTTCATATTGGTCAGTATGTATTTGCCTACACCCTCTCTATATATGTAAGAAGGTAATTATAGGAAAGTATGCTAATGGTAAATATTTTTTCTCTCATGATTGAACAAATACCATCTTAATAAGTCTATCAGTTAAAATTTAAATATCAACTAGGTAGAAAATGAAAACATTTACTATTTATAACACCGAGAACCTGATCCATTACAGAAATAATGCCATCTCATAAAAAAAGCCATTTAACTTATATCATTTCCTAAGGATACCAAGCAAATCTGCACCAGTCAAGAAAAACTCCGCTTCACCAAACATCAGGGATAGCCAAGCAAAACATTTAGTCAGAACAGGAAAAAATACTCCAGGCATACTAGGAGTCAAATAGTGGATATTCAGGGATAATTCAATTTTAAGTATTTCTGCTGAGTAACTCTGAAACCTTCACATGTTCAAATTCCACCAGGTGAGACTACCTTAGAACAAGACTACATTCATGTATGTGTGCCAACTATACTGCTTCACCTAAAGAATCAGAATACATCTCTGTACTGGAAGCAAGATTTGAGCAAGATTTGAAGACATTTGTTATGATCCTCACAGATAAGCTGAGGAGAGTTTCAGTCCATCACATCAGAACAATTCCGAGATGAAACTCCCTTCTCAAAGGCATGCAATCTTTTTTTTTCCTGACTTCGGTTGAAGAAATACACAGTTGGACACAAACCACAATTCTTCTCAAGAGTGGGTGTTCCTAGTTAACAGTTGTCTCTGATCTTCCAGCACATGCAAGGAATCTTAAACCCCACTGCAAAATGTGAGATGACTGCGGTTGCACCAAGAGCCTTTCCAGCAGCAGGGTGGGCTGGCTGCTACTTTGCTGAAAGGTAAATTTTCAGATTCTTAACAGCTTCTCTGTTGGGAATGGCAAGGATCAAAGAATTTTGGAAGGGTTGCAAGACATTAATTAGTGGGCTGATCTAAAACTGTTAGTTGAAATAAGAGTGACATGATAATATACATATTTAAAATTGCTAATTAGTTTCTGTGAGCTGACAGGCAAAGCTAAGCTTGATTTTTTAAATCAAGCTTGATTTGTAAATCAAGCTGAGCTCAAACAACTGAAAAAGGGAATCACTTGCCTGTGAGATACAGGACTGCTGAAATGCCGCCATAATTTCAGCTGCTACAGGTAGTTAATGTTCTGGTAGCAAGGCTGGTATCATTGGCACTGCATGCAGACGAAGATCCCATCCCAAACCATTGCTTCCACATTCAGAATCCAGCACAAATGACCACAGATGGACAACTCTAGGTTTCCATATTTATTATTCACCCACTCTTTTAAAGATTCTTGTAAGCTTAATTTGATTGTCTTTGATAGGCTGAAGCCCATTCATGATCTGCTTTCCCTTCATGTCTCCAACTGATTTCCACATGAGCAATTACAGTGGCAGAAGTGTTAAATGTCACTGGAACTGCTAGAAAGGTTTGGCTTAAGAAGCCTGAACTGCAAGCAAGTACTCCACACTTAATATATAATCCCAGGGTTTGATTTTCACAGAGCAATGAGAAATGAACAATCTCAGAAACCCAAGAAGTACTTGACCTACCACTGGCTTTTAGAATAAAAACTTTAATCAGTAAGTCAAGAAAAAATGAGACATGTGAAGTAATAACTTGTGTCCAGGTGCATGTTTAGTTTTCAACTTTTTACAGATTTTTTCTTTATGACTGACTAGAAAACACATTATACACACCAAAACTTTTCTAATGCATAAGCATGCTCAGGTTTTATTTGAATGTGGGCTTTAAAGGATAGAAAGGGAAGACTGTTCTTTACAGCAGTATATACATATGCCTTAAAACAAAACAAACACAGACACACAGAGGAGTATTTGCATTTCCACATTACTGGTTTAAGTCATTCTGCACTGCTTTATAGCACCACTAAAGATGTTGTAACAATTTGCCTAGACATTAAAAAAAAACCAAAACCAAATCAAGTAAATATTTTTATTTATATAACCAGAATTCCAGAAAATAAAGCACATACATATATATATTCATAAGATTCTATGCAACTAGGAGATACTATGATTCATGTTTTAGACAACACTGGTTGGGAGGAGAAGGGAAGAAGGAGAGCCTGTGATTCCATTTTCCTCCAATTAATTATCCAAGTTCAAAAAAAAAAAAAAAATCTAAACAGATTCCCTACATATAGCAGCATGAAGTTCAGACATGGTTGTGAGAAAATTGTAAACAAGGAGCTGGAGTTATATTAAAAAAAGGGGGTGGGGAGGAAGATGTATAAAATATCCCTCGTTCAGCACACTGAATTTGCGCATCGGGTGTGGTGAAGTTCCATAAAGCAATTAGAAGACAAGGCTTTCGCTCTTCTCAGAGATATGAGGCTTGCCTTCAACAGAAGGTAAATGGCGCTTATGTTTGTTATTTGGCCAAAAGATGTTATAAAGCCATGGCAGAGTTTTCATATGAAGCAACTGGTGTAATTAATGACTATGCTCATTAAATCCATGTTTCAGAAGAATCCTTCTCTTCTTTCCCCTCAAGAACAGACATATTGTGACATTAAGTATTACTACTGAAACAAACAATTGCGCAGCTGTACTGATTTTTGGTCTTTCTCTCTCCTTCTGCTCCAAACAGATAGTGTTTAGTTGAGAACTGGCTACCCAGGATTTGGAGAAGGCTGAGGTTCTGAAGGACTTCTTTGCCTCAGTCTTCACTGACAAAGGCTCTGACCACAACACCCAAGTCTTGGAAGGCAGACACAGGGACTGTGAGAATGAAGACCCTAGGCCCACTGTAAGAGAGGATAAGGTTCAAAATTATCTTAAAAACCTGAATGTACAAAAGTCCATGGGACCTGATGAAATCAATCTGCGGGTCCTGAAGGAGCTGGCAAATGAAGTTGCTAAGCCAATGTCCATAATATTTGAAAAATCATGGCAGTCAGGTGAAGTTTGCAACGACTGCAAAAAGGGAAATATAACCCCCATTTTCAAGAAGGGGAAAATGGAAGACCCAGGGAATTACAGACCAGTCAGTCTCACCTCTGTGCCTGGCAAAATCTTGGAGCAGTTTCTCCTGGAAGGCATGCTAAGGCACATGAAAAACAACAAGGTGCTTGGTGACAGCCAGCATGGCTTCACTAAGGGGAAATCCTGCCTGACCAATTTGGTGGCCTTCTATGATGGGGCTACAGAACTGATGGACAGGGGTAGAGCAGTTGATGTCATCTACCTGGACTTGTGCAAAGCGTTCGACACTGTCCCACACAACATCCTTGTCACTGAATTGGAGAGACATCAATTTGATGGATGGACCACTTGGTGGATAAAGAACTGGCCGGATGGCCGCACACAAAGAGTTGTGGTTAATGGGCCCAGTGTCTGGCTGGAGACCAGTAACAAGTGGTGTCCCTCAGGGATCGGTGTTGGGACTGGTCTTGTTTAACATCTTCGTTGCTGACATGGACAGTGGGATTGAGTGCGCCCTCAGCAAGTTTGCTGATGACACCAAGCTGTGTGGTTCAGTTGATACGCTGGAGGGAAGGAATGCCATCCAGAGGGACCTTGACATGCTTGTGAGGTGGGCTGATGCCATCCTCATGAAGTTCAACCATGCCAAGTGCAAGGTCCTACACCTGGGTCAGGGCAATCCCAGGCACAGCTACAGATTGGGCAGAGAAGAGATTCAGAGCAG